ACTCCCTATCAATATTCAATGGAGACAAAAAATTTGTTTTTATTTTTTCAATTTTGAAAGCGATATCTAACCAATCTCGCTGTGCCTTTATTTACATCAATCGCTCTGGCCCATTTGAAAGAGATGGTTTTCAACGGCTTAAATGTTTTTCGCCGGAACCGGTTCATGAACCGGAAACTGAGTCGCGGTGTTCGAGTTGGGGTCCAGTTTAAAAGGAGTGAATCGAAAGATCCAATGGGTAAAGGTAAATAATTGAAGGTGTCAATCAGCAAATGTCAGATTTTGATATCCTTTTTTAGGAAGACACTATCGATGTCAACAGGTTGACACGTGGTCATCTTTCCATTTTTGGATACTCCTCTTTGTGCAAGTCACCTCTGGTGGGGTTGGAGGTCTTTATCACCTACCACAGACGACTTCTGAATCCTACGCTTTTAGTTTTATGATTGGTATAATCACAAAATAACCCCTCAACATTTATACAAATAATTAGTTTAATTTTGATTTTTAAAATATTTTAGACGCTTTTAGTTCTTTTCAAAGCACTCAGACAATCGAATGCTGTAATTATTGAATGCTTTGCGAACGAAGAAGCTTGTTTATTGTTCCTTGCTTCGAGTTTTGAGATGAGTAAGTAACATTTAAATTATATAAGAATTTAAAATTTTCAAACCAACCCCTTAATCCATTGTTGCTACAAGTCGAAAGCAAGAAATTGGGAGCAAAGAGAACTTACGTCTAAACTTGTAGGAGTGTGCTATGTTCTTTTGATATTGGGCTTATGGTCTGGTCAGGTAATAAGTCAAGGCCCATAAATTTGGGTTTGTCCCAAAAAGAGTCACCCTTTGAATGTTTGTGGAGGGCCATATAATGACTTGAAAAAGACCTCAAGAATTTTTAAAATGACTTTTCCTATTCTTCACAGAACCTTATTCTCCCCCCCTTCATTATCTTTTGCTAGCTTTATTTGATGTTTCATGACTTGTTTCTCTTTATGCGAATGTACGGCTATTTTTCAGCATTTATTGGGACTATGAACGAACACGAGATTTTATGTTAATGAGATGAACTTCTGAAACTATAAGGAAGATAAACTTCTAAAATTTAAAGAACAAAAATAAATTAGTAAAAAAATGCAAAAAAATATTTAAAGTATATTATATAAAAATTTTAAGAGGGACGATTATCTTCGCTGACTCCCCTCGATTCATTCCTATTTGAAATTTATACTTTATATCAAACTCATTCTCAAGCTTGACACAATACTTATATATGCTAGCAAAGTATGGAGTTGTTAACATTTTGCACTTATCCATTTGTTTCTAGAAACATTTACTTCTGTTTTGACTTTGTTATACCATGTTATCTTTTTTTTTTGGTCTAAATGCGCAGTTAAAAATACTTAGGAGAGGCACAAATCAAGTTATTTTAGTGATTAAAAGAAATTATTGTTATTTCTAGAAATCTCGGGTTCGAGTATCAACGATTGACGATTGCTAGAGTATTTGAGTGTATATTATCAAATGATCAAGAATCTTTAGAACTTATACTACCATCTCTAATAACCCTAGATTAATAAAAAGAAAATTAGTTAAGAGAGGATAAGGATACTATAATATAAGGGCATTCTTTAATAATACTCTTCTTTTACAACTTAATTGTTAACTTAAACATTATTATTATTATTATTATTATTATTATTATAGTATTCTACATTAGATATCACTTTTATTTTTTATGTATCTTATTTTGATTGTTAATTTTTTAAATAAATATTTTGATCATTTATATTATCGATTTCTTTCATTTTAATCACGGAGTAGTTAATTATGTTACATTGTGACACCTTAATAAAAAAATATTACATCATTAGCTACACATTTTATTTTATGTTTACTTATTGTGTGCATAAACAATAATGTTTATTTAATATTAAGATATGTGTTTTATTTTCTTCTTTTAAATGTATACGATTTAGAAAAATTAAAGTTTATTTTAATATAAAAATCAAAATTTTATGTATAGAAATATATTAAAATAAAAATTATATATATATATCGTAATACATATTAAATCAAATTTTATTTGTGACACCAATTTTAACTTTAAAATTTCCAAATTATTATGTCCTAAAATATTTAGGTAAGATAAATAAATTTTCTTCAAATATATGGACCTTCGAGAAAAATGTAGGGGTAACTGAATAAGAATCATTCTAATTCTTTTTTCAGGTAGATGAATTTCGTTGTCATAAGTACCTTTTTCTGGTGAATTCAAGTTTCTTAGACCAACAATTAGAAATTTTTCTTCTTATTTTGACCAAATTTGTAGGCTTCCAAATGGTTTTCTTGATTAGTGCCTTTCTTATAAGTAATTCCAAGCTTCATCCATAATATTTCCTCAAACCAATTAACTTATTAATTTCGGTTTTTGTTAAATATAATGATAAATTTAATCTTTAATATTTATAATTGTATTAATTTAATCATTATTTTAATTAAATTTAACCTTCAACGTCTCAAAAACAGTTGAGTTGTTATTTTTTTCAAACACGAATATAAAATAAAATGTTAAAATTTTAATATAGTTAATATAGTATCTTATATAAAGATCCATGAATATTTCACACACACACACATATATATATATATATATAGGATAATACTTAGGGATGGACACTCAACCCGAATCCAATGGATTTCAACCCGACCGATCAGGTCGGATTTTAAAAAAATATCAGGTTGTTCTCGGGTCGGGTGGACCAAAAACCCGACTCATGCCCATCCCTATTAATACTTTATATACATAGGGTTGATGTTGTTAACATGTCATCTAAAGACGAACCTACATTATAAGTGGAAGGGGCAATTGTCTCCCAAATTTTATCGGTATAATTATTTTTAGTTCATTAATATTTTTGAAATCGTTACCATGGAGAACCTATCCTTTTAAATTTTACGGTTTACTTGATTTTTTAAGATTCTTTCAATTTTAAAATGAAATTATATCTTCACCTCCAAATATTTTTGGTTTTATTACCATTTAAGACCCTTCAACTTTAGAATTAGTGAAATTAAACCAAAACTCCTTTATATTTTATGGTTTATTCAATTTTAAAGATCCTATTTGTTTCAAAATTGAACAACGTACCCCCTGATAGTTCAGTCATGTCTTCACCCCTGATAGTATCATTATTATTTTTGAATCAATTATCAAGGTTGAGTGTATACAGGTAGAAATTAATACAATAACATAAATTCAAGATGGATCAAAACTCAAAAGAGCACGTATGATCACTACAATGACTAACGATTATATAAATGATAACGCTTTGTTAACCGACTAACGATTAATAAATTAATTCAACCATATGTTTACTTAATACTCAAAACTAATTGAACCAAAATACTAAAAAAGAATGGTTTGCTTTTCCAGGTCTGTGATATGTTGTTTGTAAAGCAGAGCACTATGAACTTCATGGGAATTTCTTAAGCCCAATCGGCATTGATTAATTCGAACTTAGTCAAGCTCTGCGGTTTACCTAAAAGCAGGAATTTCTTCTCCTTCTTCTTCTTCTTTTTGACGAAAAAGGAAACTTACGCGTCTAAGAAACCCAACATTTAATTCTTAGAAATTAATTGGTAACCACATTTAGGCATTTTACCTAACTAAAACAAGTCCATCCTTTCATATATTAGAAAACCCCAACTTAAGAGGTATTAAGATAATTATATTAGAATCCATCGGATGATATCAGTGGTAGAGGGAATGTCATTTTCCTTTAAAATTTTGGATTTGAACAATTGCGTCCATATAGAATGTGTATATTGTCAATGGTTAAAAAATATTATAAACATACATTACCTTGTAATTACCTTAAACTATTAAAAGAAGATAATTATACTAATTTTCTAAATCAAGTGTTGAAATCGCACTCCTAACTTTCAGTAATTATTATGCTTTATGAGGGGCATGTCTGGGTTTCAATGGAAAATTCTTGAAAGACAAAAAGAATGATAATTGGTAGAGGGAAGGATGAGAGTTTCATTAAAATAAGTCATTTTATGGGGGTTTTTTTAACTACTTTCAACTTTGATTTGTATTAAAATCCACTTAATGTTAAGTTATTATATAGTACATGTAACTCTTACTTTATAGTTTATAATGATTCACTTCAAAATCTGAAATTTTCAATTTATAAATTAATAAAATAAATTTCTCTTCGAAACTGAAATAATTGAGTTTGATTCGAACAAAAATTTTGAAATTAAACTTATTCAATCACCAGATACTCTTATCATTATTTCAAATAATGTGAATTATTTGGGAGTGGAAATGAAAAGAGCATTCGATAATTGTTCGTGAATTATTCATATAACGTTCATTCATTAAGCTAAATAAAATAGTATAAATAAAAAATATTCATTTAATAAATGAACATACTCGAACATAGGTGTGTTCAGCTCATTTTTGTTCATGGACAAACTCATTTATAGGCTCGTTTATAAACTCGTTAATGGACAAGCTCATTAATTGGTTCATTTAAAAAAATGAAATATTGCTGAAGATATAGACTAAATTAAAATAAGGTGAACTTTAAGAGTTTAAACTATGAAGTATAAGAAAATTAAGGATTAATGACGTAATTTCATCATACTTATTTGGCTTTAGTGTTAGGTGTGAGACACCAAATAAATATGTTTGTAAAAACTAAACAAACACATTTAAAATTAACTAAACGAATAAGAACATGATTCTAAAAATTTAAACGAACATAAACTGAACATAAACACCTTCAAAAATAAATAAAGCGAGCACCATTTTGAACATTTAAACGAACAAGAACCGAGCATGAATACATTTAAAATAAACAAATAAATACGAACATAACTTTATTCGTTCAAGTCAGATTCATTTACATAAGTCAAAAGGTTTAAAAATCACAGGGAACTCACCTAAACAAGGGCTACATAATGATTCCAAAAAGGAAATGCCTCTGCTTTAGCAACAAAACATTCTGATTCCAAGGGTGAAGGGAATTTCATATATTTTCCTCCCATGAGAAGGAAAGTGTATGTTGAGTGCCACTTGCGGATGACCCTGAATGCCCGGTTCCTACTTGCTCATCCTTATTTGCAAGCTTGGGATCAAGGGTGGAGGTGTGCCTGACTGCACCATGGGGCTCAAACTAATCTCCTGAGTCTCAGCCGGTTCCGATGACAGAAGAGAGAGAGCACGGTTGGACTCGAAGGCTCGATTTAGCGCATTCGAGAACATTTTCCGGCTGCTACCAACATTGCTTGATGAAGGATTGGTATTGATAAATGGTTGACAAACAGACACTCCAGGGAGTGTCCAATTAGTACGGTGTGAGAATGAGAATTGCTTTTCTCCATTGTAGTTGAGAGATGTGGATCCGATGATCGAGCTATTTCGACTGCCGAAGTTTAACGACGAACTTGTATCAGATTCGAATTGTATCACTCCGGTCGAAGAATCGGTCATGGATGTAGTGGAAAACATTTGGGGACTACTGAATGGTACATATCTAGTAGCAGGGTGATTTGGAAGAAACCTTATAGAATTTACTGATAGCGCATCGGGTTGAGGCTTTCTCCGCCGTCGGTTGTGACCGTCAAGACGCTTCCGGCAGCTCCGTTTCACTTCATCGAACTCCGATAAGGAATGAAACCTAATAAAATCCATTAACCAGAAACAAAACTCTAAATCATTTATCAAATGAAATAAGCTAAGAACAAAAACATGAGACGGAATCTTACAAAGGAGGAAATCACATGAGAACATTTAGTAACTCAATTCCCTTTCATGGTGCATAAAGCAAGCATTAAGATAAACAAATCGTAATCATAAACATTAAATCAAAAAGGAAAAATACCCAAATATCTTGAATCTGCATAAAGCAAGTTATAATAGTTTACCTGCTGCACTGCTGGCAAAAACGTTGCTCTTGACCCCTAATCGAAACTTTAGGGGTTTTGGAATGGATTTCGCATACTTTGTGGCGTCGATGGTAGTCCCTGCATTTGCTGAGGTCTGCCGTGCAACCATCGACGGAGCACGAAGGTACTTGGTTTCCACTCCCACGCGGCCGAGCCCTTTTAAACGACGGTGCTGATTCCATCAATGGCAGCTCCGGAACCTTACAGTGTCTTCAAAATGACTCAAGCTCTCAAATCCAACAATGGCGACTCAATTTAATCCTGCTAACACCGCCGAAAACATATCAGCTTTAATTTATTTATTTCTTGTTCTTCAATCCCATCACCTTAATCAAAACAATAGCACAAATTCAAACACCTATTTTAATCAAAATTAAATAATGCTTCTGGGTGTTAAGATTACAAGCTTCTTTTTACTTGTTCTGGGCTATTTGAAGAAGAAATAGAGGGAGGGGATTCGTTGGGTTGGAAACTCATAATAATGATCCGCCTACTATAAGTAACTCACCATATATCACTAAATCAAAAGAGTAGTTGACAATTAATTTCTAATCAATGCTAATTGATTAGCTACTTTTTTTTAAAAAAAATATTAAGCTTAATTAGAGAAATAAATGATTAAACGGGGATGATGCACCAACTCAATGTGAATAGATTAAATAAAATTCTAAACCAATATTATATTATAATTATTCTAGACACAATCCGTAAACATAGCTATTTAAACTCGAATCTTTTCTAAAAAATAACATTTTTTATCATTAAAACTATTCAATGTGTTTTAAAAATAATACTGAATGAAATAATTATAAATTCATAATATTTGTGATTGTAAAAGAGACAGACAAAAGAATCTAGCATATACTTAATAAATTTAATCTTTCAAAAAAATAATATTTAATAAATATAAGTTTTGAATTTTAATGGAAACAAAGGTTTGGCAATTTGGGGTTAAATATAATTCATCGGAGATGTTGTAAACAGAGTGGAGTGGGGCACTCGCATTCCAACCACAAGTAGCTTGCAACTTTGCAAGATATTTTGGAAACGATTGATGGGCTTCGCCGGAGTATTACTTCTTTTATATCGTCATTATTTTTTATTATTATTAAAATAAAAAGTTTAACATATCATTTCATATTTAAATATATCGCATTTATATACGAATTGAGCAGCCTCAATGATTAAGGGATTATTGTTATGTATTGAGGTTTTAATTTCGAGCATTGATTATGTTAAGGTATGAGTATCCATTATCAAATGATTGAGAGTTTATGAATATATATTATCTTGTATTCACTCTAACTTATGAATATTTTTTACCATTTTTATAGATATATTATGTTTTTTAATTAATTTGATGTTTGAATTTATCATATATATATATATGTTTTTTAATAAATTTAATATTTTTTTATAGAAGTCGTTAATTTTATTAAAAATAGAAAACATTCAAATTACAATGAAGGTTTACAACCACTGTAAACTATACACAAGATAAGAATATTTTCCTAAACACAAGAAAACTAACCCCTTAAGATCACACAAGAACCATACAAGGTAAATACAAACATATCTGACCATATTGACAAACAAACCACAAAAGGGAATAAAATTATTGAAAGTCCACCGACAAACCACAAATCATAATCAAACGATGTGAAAATACTATCCACGAACGCAAATCGCATATCCAAATTTAATTAGAGAGTCCAAAGCAGGAAATCATCATGATAACAAACAAGCGTCATCTCGATCAGTCGTGACGATATCAAATCTAACCTTGAAAAAAAGATAAACGAAAATAACACTCAAACAACCGAAAACGTATCATGGAGACAGAGAAAAACGTGTCATAAAGGCATAAAATTACATGTCAAAAAGACAGAAATATTAAGAATAAAATAATAAAAAAAACAAAGATATGGTATAATAAAGTAATAAAAATAATGAATAGCGACTATCGACAATCAATATCAAAATTGATACAGCCATCGATCACAAAGATAAAAAGAAAAGAGATTAACAGCTAAAGAAAATAAGAGAAAATAAGAGAAACCCATAAATAAGTTTAATATTATTACATATTTAATATTCTTATTTGTCCGATGTCATACAAAATATTCTATATTAAATAAGTTAGAAACAAATAAAAATTATAAGAAATTTTAATGTAGAATCTCTATTAATATTTGATACTAGTATAATAAATACATGTATCAAATGTGCAATATTTAATAAATTTAAATGTTAAATTGGTTAAAAGGAAAAACATACAAGTAAGAATGTTGGTGGGATGGGCTTCACATATAATTGTCGTGCTTCACATGGCCTTGGCTAAGTTGTTAGAGGTTCTGTATAAATTCTTATAAAGGGGCCTTTAGATCTCGAACTTATTTTTGGACCCTTATTTTTTGGGACTTCTTAATGGCAATAACTGATAAATATACTTGATTTCGTGGCTCTTATTTTTTGGGACCTCTATTTTTTAGGGTTTCTTAATGACAACAACTGATAGATATACTTGATTTAGGAGCCCTATTTTTTAGAGTACTGCGCGGTCGCGCACCTTGCACATCCTCAGTTACGCCCCTGGTGCTTCGTATTTAATTGAACGTAAATTTATACAAATTTCACGAGTGGGATGAGATCAAAATTAAAAATGTCGTGGGTAGTGAGACACGAGTGAATTTGACCTTATCTCCACCCCTCCTGCCACACATTATTTTTTGTATATGTATATTATGCAAGGATTTTTTAAAAAAAAATTTATATTGAAGTTTTATTTTTATTTATTAATTAAAGGGTAGCGATGGGTTCTTTTTAATAATAATAGTCGAAATATCTCATATATGGGGAATCCAGAAGATATATAGTTCATACTTTTTTGTTTATATAAAAAAATAGTTTATATTTATTTAACTGATAATGATAAATATAACAAAAATTTAAGTATTGGGACCTACTTAAATGACAGGACAAAAATAATTTTAATCTTGTGAGTTGTAGGACATGATGATTTTAAATTTTATACTCAATTACATGAGGTCGCGGGATGGGATGGGTAATGTAAGAACGTCTCGCACTTGTCTTATTCAATTAATATCCTTAAAATATGTACCACATTGATAAAAATATCAAATTTAAATATTAAATATGTAACATTTTAATATATATATCAAAATAATTGAAATATAAACATAAAACAAATCTTAGTTTTAAACAATACGTTAAACCAAATAAAAAAGTGTAGCTTTTAAATTCGTAATTTGGCTTTAAAAATAAGGATAAATTATATCAGATATCACCGAATTTATAAGACTTAGAGTAACACCGCTGCGGTGAGGTTTTTAGGGTTTGGAGATTGAAGATGAAATGCAGTAGGAGAGAAAAATATAATGGTAAAATTGATGATTGGTCCCTGAATTATTTATGATTTTAAAATTAATTTCAACAGCAGTTTAATATATACGATTTGTGTTACAATTGTTTTCAAAATCTAAGTTGGCCTAGTGGTTAAATGCAAGGTTTGCATCCTAAAGACCCTGGGTTATACATTAAAATTTTTGTAAGCACAAACTGTATATAATTAGATCCTAATAGTTTGTATTTCTGACTTGGATTTGAAAGTTCGATCGAGATTTTATTTGGTTTATAGGATTTTAATTTTTTTAAAAAAATTCAATGTCATGTTTAAAAATTTTGTATTCAATATGAAATTTAAATTAAAAAAATAAATTTATTTTTTAACCAATGAATCAAATGTTTATTGTCACAATATTAACATAAAGGTTCACGATTAAAAACTCAATTCACGAAATCTTTCTAATCCTTTTCAAAATTAAAAATCATCAATATTCACTAAAGCGAATAGATATTTTTTTCAGATTATTAATTATTATATTTTTTCTCAAATTCTCAGAAAATATCATTCAATCATTTATGTTCTATCTCATTGATAATCATTACTTAAAATGCAATAATAAAGTAATTTATTCTCAATCTCCTTTTTGTTATTTGCACTCATTTTCTTGTTATGTTATTTTTATTTTCTTACTTACATCGTGAGTATACATAGGACTGTAGTATAATTGCAACGCATAAAAAAAACCAGTACTTAAGGGAAACATAGCTTCAAATTTTAAAAAGAGAGATTAATTTAATTTAAGTAATAATGATAATAACAACTGTTTTGATTATCGGATTAAAATTGATTTTTTTTAAATAAAAATAAAGGTTGTAGTATTTTGATTACGTATTATCTATCTACGTGTGTCTTTCTTGGCCTCTAAATTTCTACATGTTTTCTTCGTGCAATCAATGAATCCTGAAAGAAAGATGACATTAGATGTCCGATGGCTTTGACCCTTTCTCAATGTTTATTCATTCATACTTTTTTTTAGTTATTTACATATATTATAATTTATCTACTATAGCATAATAAAATAAAAAGATTTACACGGTTATAAAATAATTTAGTTAACTCAATAAAGCTTTGAATATATAAGGTAATACATGTTATAATCTCAAACATTTGAAACATATATAAATGTTTTGTTAATAATTTTTACTAGTATGAAGATTTTCGTTCACATCTTATTTTTACCGTTGTATCTCTCACTAATTTCTTTATTAAAAAAGTTATTAATGACTAATCTCGCTGTGGAACCTAAAAAAATCATTACGAAAATAGTTAGAAGAGTACAATAAGCATAAGATTTAGCTTTTTATTTTTTAACGTTACATAATGATAAGATCAATGCGCCGCACCTGATGTCACTGTGCACTCATCAGTATTAGGAAATAATATTAAAAAAAAACAAAGCCTGATTGTTGTTAATAAAATACTACCACAATTATTGCCCGAATTTGCTATTATTTAATATTAATTATTACCCTAATCTGCTACAAACGTAAATGAATATCAAATTGAGATCCAACGCCACTACCCCTAACAAATTAAATGAACCCGAGAATCTAACATTGCCTGCACAAACTAGATATTGATTATAATAATATGAATGAATATTTATTATATCAATCTAATATCTTTATCGGGTTGATATAAAATATTTATTAATATATGTTTAATACTTTCACATGAAATAAATGATTAACTTCAATTTTCTCAAAATTTTAATTTTTCATATTCCAATCACCTCTACCAACACTCCGAGAAGGAAAAAATTAATATAAATGCTAAAGGCAGAAGAGAATGAATTTTATAATTAATTAAAAAAAGCGTAGTTGGTTCTTTAACTCGACAGTACGCCGATATCTTTTCAAGAGGAAATATTTTATATTTTGATAAGGTGAAATTTTACTACGCGACGCCTAAAAAACAGTTAAAAAATAGTGTGATTTATTAAATAAATGGTCGATTAAAATTTAGATCAATTATGTTATATCATTTAATCGAAAATATTATCAAATACAATAATATATTA